GGTATTTCTTTCTCATCAATGTTTCTAACTCTCTATTTCTCTCCCTTCCTCTCTGTAAAAAAATCAATAATATATATAAAATCAATAATATATATATATATATTTCTGTCGACAAAAATTCAATGAACACCTTTACCTTTTTAAAACTCAAATTGTGCTGAGAAGGGTGGAAGGGCAGACGTCTCACACTTTAGCATGCCAAAGCTAGGACTATAAAAATACTTTATTTTATGATTATTTTGATCCTCACCCGAGGGCATGGTTTTATTGATTTAAGAAAGAAAGGAAGAAGGAAGGAAGGAAGGAAGAATATTTTAGTATGAATATTATCTAAAATAAATATTGCTTTGAATTTATGGGTGAGAAATTCTAAAGGGTTTCTAGAAGGCCAGGAATGAGAAATACAAATTACATAATACCTGAGTTTAAGATATTTGAAATGCCATTGGTAGTCTTTGTGGGTATGTGGTTGGTCACTACGGTATAAATTAATGAACATAACCATGTTTTGATAAAACTTTATTTACAAAAGTTAGTGACAAGTAGTAATTTGCAAAGTGGTTAGAACTTTCAACTTACTGTGTACCATTACTTGTTTTGAACTGGTAGATTTTAAGTAAGATATCTCTAATAATCTAATAGTAAAATAATATGTCTAATTTAATGCATCTAATCAACTTTCAAAACATTGTCTCTAATTATGTAAATGTTTATGATTTTTGTTAATGGTTACAAGTTATGAACTAATTTATTTATGAATTATACTTAATAAAAGCATTTGGAAGCTCTTAAATATTTTAAATTTATTTTTATTGATTTCAGAGAGGAAGGAAGAGGGAGAGAGAAATAGAAACATCAATGATGAGAAAGAATCACCAATCCACTGCCTCCTACATGCCCCCTACTGGGGATTAGCCCACAACCTGGGCATGTTCTCCGACCTGGAATCAAACCATGACCTCCTGGTCATAGGTCAGCTCAACACCTGCCAGGCTTAAGTAAAATTTTATTATTTTCATACATTAAAATATTGTATACATTGTCCATACTGAAGGATTGGAACGTTTTTATTATTACTAAATATAAGGTCTAAAAGAAGCCTTATTTTTCTAAGAAAGCAAATCCTCCTATATAATAAAGAGGTAATATGCAAATTAACTGCCACTCCAACACACAAGTTGGCTGCCCCATGTGGACACAAGATAGCCGTCAGGGGAGGGCAGTTGTGGGCAATCAGGCCAGCAGGGGAAGGCAGTTGGGAGGGACCAGGCCTGCAAGGAAAGGCAGTTGTGGGGGACTGGGCCTGCAGAGAAGGGCATTTGGTGGTGACTAGGCCTGCAGGGGGGGACAGTTCAGGGGTAACCAGACCTACAGGGAAAGGCAGTTAGGGACAATCAGGCAGACGAGTGGTTGGGAACCAGCAGTCCTGATTTGTGAGAGGGATGTCCGACTGCCCGTTTAGGCCCGATCCTGGTGGTCCCAGATTGGAGAGGGTTCAGGCTGGGCTGACACACACACACAGACACACGCACACGCACACGCACACGCACACTATGCATGAATTTCGTGCACCAGGCTTCTAGTGGTAATAATAAGACCTTTGAGAACATTCCTCCCTCACCTTCTACTAGGGCAACATTTTTCTAAAATAGTTAAGTTTAGGAAATAATAACCAGATGTTTTTGTGTTCTTTTTACAGCATAACTTCTCAGATCCCTTAATTTACTTATTATCATTGAAACACTCCAAGAATGTTTTTCCCAACTTATTTGAATGTCTAAGCCCATGGTCGGCAAATTGCAGTTTGTGAGCCACATGCAGCTCTTTGGCCCCTTGAGTGTGGCTCTTCAACAAAATACCATGACCTGGGCAAGTCTGTTTTGAAGAAGTGGTGTTAGAAGAAGTTTAAGTTTAAAATTTTCAATCATTGTACTGTTGATATTTGACTTTATTGACTAATGAGTTTGCCGACCACTGGTCTAAGCAATAATATTCCACAGGACAATATTTTAAAAATGATCCAGTAGGTCAGTTGGAAGAGATTTTTCCTCCACTAAGGGCACATCTGACAATATCAAGATATTTTTCATTGATACAATGGAGGGAGAGAGGGGTTAATGCTACTGGCATCCAGCAAGTAGAGTCCAGGGATGCTTTTAAAATCCTCCAGTGCACAGAATACGCCCACTCTGCCAACAAAGAATTGTCTGGCCCAAAGTGTCAATAGTGCCAATGTTGCTTTATGGACATGTTGGCAATCATAGTTGAAATTGGCAGTGTAAAGAGCTAACCACTTAATTTAAAGCAGTTGATTGACCTCTCATATCATTATTAATTGAGCTATTGTATTTCTTAGAGTCTACGAAATGATAGCAGATGAAGCTAAAATAGTAATTGCGATCTTATAGAAACTGGCAAGGGAAGGTCAGAATTTTAAAAATGGGGATATATTAAAAGTGTAAGTCCTAAGTCAAGGCATTTTGAATCCTTAGTTGGGATTAACAGTGAAGCAAAGAAATTTAGAGGGCTGACCTTTTAAGTGAGAAGTCTCTTAGTCTGCTGGCAGTATGTTTCCTCCATCCCAATCAGCATGGCCTTATAAAAATAGACTCTATAAGAGAGAGAGAAAGTTAATCTTAAATTTAAAGGTGAAATATAACTTTCTTAAAGTAATATACTGTCATTTGATTTTTATGTCCCTCCTCTACTAAAAGTGACATAGGTCATTTAGAAGTTCTGTTTATTTGGTTAGAGTTCTGTGGCATTCTCTGAGAATCTGTGACAGCCAATATAGTGACAATATTAGATTGAATATTATGGATTTAAGATGCATTGTAAACACTTTGTTTTAAGGTATTTCTAAATGTAGTTGAAATAACCTATAAAAGTGTAATATATGTGGATTTTATGTTATACAGTTATTTAAATAGTTAATAACCTTTCCTTTAAAAATTTATATCTGCCTAATATGTGATATAAAGTGTCTATTTCACTTGTTATTACTAAAGTTTAGGTAAAATTTTTAGAGTGAATGGGTATTTATTTAGATTTTTATGAAAATCCTTGGCAGATACTTATTTAGTGGTTGTGTTATGGAATATTTTTGACAAAATTGAACAAAGAAAGGAGTTTGAAGACCTTTGGCTATATTTTAATTGTTTAGCTTTCTCTGTGAAGTAATATATGTGTGAAATATATTTCAAAGAATCTAGCACTTAAGAAGTGATAGTTGTTGAATCAGTCTTATTTGGATCTAGTGTTCCAAAAGAATTTAAACTCTTGAGAAATCAACCTAAGAATGAGATTCTGTGCACTCAAATAATGGAAGTGAAGTATTGAAAAGTTAAAAGTTATTCAGGAGATTACCGTGCTAAGTGAAATAAGCTAGTCAATGAACGACAAATACCATATGATCTCACTTATATGTGGAATCTAATGAACAAAATAAACTGACCAAGGAAAGAGAAACAGAGGCATGGATACATGGAACAGACTGACAGCTGTCAGAAGGGAGGGGAGAGGGGGACCGGATAAAGAAGGTGAAGAGATTAGTCAAAGAACATAAACGGCGTAACCCATAAACACAGACAACAGTGTGGTGATGCCAGGGGGAGGGTTGTAAGCAGAGAACTTTCATGACCTTAGTCTTTAGGAGAATTTCTCTGGGTATCGTATTGAGAATAGACATATACTATATATTGGAAATGTCCTCAGCAAAGTACATTAAAATGCTTTCTCTTTTCTTAAGCCTTTATTCAAAGATCACCTTTACTACTAGCTTTTTCTAAACCTTATTATCTAGATGTAATTCGTCTCCTTTTTTTTGCTACTGTCATTCATAATCATATTTTGATTTTTTTCAATAGACTACAAATTATTCAAGGAGAGTGATTGTAGCTAGCTAGTATGCACATAATGCCTGTAACTATTTGTTACTTAAATAATTACCTTAGTTACAATGGAAATCATGAAAATACTTTCTTGAATTATTATATTATTGATAATAAAGTTACTCTATACTTGCTTTTATAAGCAGAATTATGTATAAATGCAAAAATAAAAACATTAATTGTATTATTCAAAGCATTTACCTATATTCACTTAATTAATACAGTCCAATGAGCAGGTGTTACCATTACTACCTCCAGATGAGAAACTGAGGAAATAATGGTTAGGTGATTTCCACAAGGTTATTTACTTGTTATGTAGCAGAGCCAGGATTTAGATTTAAGCAGTCTGTCCTTACTGAATACAGTATATTTTTCCATTGATTTTTAGAGAGGGTGGAAGGAAGGGAGAGAGGGGAGAGATAGAAAGAGAAACATCACTGTGAAAGAGTCATATTGATTGGTTGCCTCTTGGACTCCCTGGTTGGGGCTGGGAATTGAACACGAAGCCCATGTATGTGCCCTTGACCAGGAATCAAACCCGAAACCCGTAGGGCCAGGGCTCATGTTGGAACCACTGAGTAATATCAACCAGGGTGAATCCAGTTAATTTTATCAGTAGGTCAAAAACCAATAGAGCCGGGACCGGTTTGGCTCAGTGGATAGAGCGTCAGCCTGTGGACTGAAGGGTCCCAGGTTCGATTCCGGGCAAGGGCATGTACCTTGGTTGCGGGCATATCTCCAGTGGGGGGTGTGCAAGAGGCAGCTGATCGATGATTCTCTCTCATCGATGTTTCTAACTCTCTATCCCTCTCTCTTCCTCTCTGTGAAAAATCAATAAAATATATTTAAAAAAAACATTAGAATTTGAAAAACAATTTTAGAAACCAATGTAGTGTTGCCACCATTAGAACATTTTTTAAAAGTATAACATTTATTTTAATCACTTTTCCATTTATTATATGCAAAATTCTGATTTTAGATAACCTCTTTTTAAAATAGTACATGATTACATTAACCCTTTTAATTTCTTTTTATATAAGGTGAAGCAGAATAATAGCATATTGATATAAAAACACCATGGAAAACAAAATTGTGTTTTTCCCCTTTTAGGGCCTGTATATCTTTGGGATCAAGAAATAGAGCCATTGGAAATGCAGCGAAGAGCCAGGTAAATTGTTAATGTAGATGTTTTGATCTATAGAAACAATGAACTGAATCTTGGTAACTAAGCTCCCATTTTACATAAATTAAGAGTGAAAACAAAGAGTAGGGAAAATATGATAGATACTTAACCTTTGTATCTTATTATATATATTTGCTTTGGTTTATAAAATATTTTAAAAGTTTATTTATTAAAAATCTTTAGTTGTGAAGTTAGGGTGTTCCATCATATAGCATCAATTTTTCACTGCGTAGTCATTTTCTATTGGATATTCTATCTAGAATATTCACTTCAACAACAAGTGAGTGATGTCTTGTTAAAAAAAAAAGTGTGGAAGAATGGAGGAACTAATTTCCAGAGGAATCCAAGGTGGCTACCGGTACTTGATATGGAATCTGTTTAAGTCTTCATATTTCTAGGTTTCTGAAATACTTATGGTGGCACATTCACTTTTAATATTCCAGGCTACAGGTTCATTGTCCATGGACTTAGTTTATTGCCCTAAACTAAAAGCCCTTAATAGTTTTCTTTTTAAATTTTAATATATACCTAGGTTTTCTTCATTATAAGATAACTTTGTTTAATGGGGCTTTTTCTTTATGACTTTGTAGGAATAATTGCTTATTTATCCAGGAATTTTGCTTATAATTTTTATCAACTTTGTCTTATAATTGGTCTAGATATGAATATGCTTGTAACTTCTTCTACTTATATATATATATATATATATATATATATATATATATATATGAAAGCCAAGTGTTTTCCAGCCATTCGACTGCTTGACCAATAGCTATGATATTAACTGACCACCGGGGGGCATGGAAACATGGAACAGACTGATGAATCTCAGAGGGAAGCGGGGAGGAGGAAGGGTGGGAAGAGATTAACCAAAAATCTTATGTGCATACTGGAGGCCCAGTGCATGGATTTGTGCACTGATAGGGCCTTCAGCTTGGCCTGTGGGGATCAGGTTAAAACCGGCAATCCAACATCCCCCAAAGGGTCCAGGATTGTAAGAATGTGCAGTCCAAGCTCAGGACTCCACCAGTGCACAAATCTGTGTACCGGGCCTCTAGATTGTACATACATGTTGAGTTGGTTCCAAAATGCCCCCTTCACTAAAGTTTACATCTCATTTTCTGGCTAATCTTCTCAGTGTATCATAGATATCAAAGTCTCTAAAGAAAGTTATTGCTCCTAAAGAGCTAAAGACCAACATGATAATTCAAGATTCCTGCAATTTTCATCTCATAATTGAAGATCAACATCTATTTGGCTTTTAAAGGTCACTAAGAGGGCACAAATAGATCTCATTAATATTCTATTGTTAGAACTATGTGTTCTAGTTAAAGAAAAATTTGCTTTATCAAAGTACAAGCCATTTACTAATTAGCACTTTAATTAGTAGCACCACGCTTTATGGAAAGAGTTTTAATTTACAAGCCTAGGAGCAATTCGTTGCAATGGAAGCAACATAGTAGTACTTGAGAAATGTCATAAAGAATCACATATTCAGCAGAAATTGGTTTGGCTCAGTGGATAGTGACAGCCTGCGGACTGAAGGGGCCTGGGTTCAATTACGGTTAAGGGCATGTATCTCGGTTGTGGGCACATCCCAAGTAGGGGGTGTGTAGGAGGCAGCTGATCGATGTTTCTAACTTTCTGTCTCTTTCCCTTCCTCTCTGTAAAAAAATCGATAAAATGTATATTTTTTTTTAAAAAAAGAATTACATATCAGAGGAAAGGAAAGATCAGACAATAAAAAACATATTAAAAACAAATGAAAGTGGAAAGAAATAAGAGAAATCAAAGATGCTAATTTCCTTGAGCGGCAATTTCAATCTTTTTCATCTCATGGCACACATAAACTAAAATTCTGTGGGACCCCAAAAAAATTTTTTTTGCCAATCTGACAAAATAAAAGATATAATTTCGATTTATTTATGAAAATAATAATATTAGTGATTACCTACCCTATTGTTCCAAAGTGACTTTTTAAAAAACTCCGGTGCCTATACATGTATATAAGGAGTTCTAGTACCAAGAATTAACCAATCAGACACAATTAGATGCAACTCTATTATATAACCTATGTATTTATGGTTTAAGACAAGGCTTTCACATTTGATTGCTACTGTCATGTTGGCTGTTGTCATTTTTTATTTGACAATCTAAGGGAAAAGGAGATCAGTGCCCCTGACTAAATTATCAGGTACTTCATTTTTTTTAAAATTCTTGTGGCAAACCACTTGAAAATCACTGTACTAGAGCAAAAGTGTTGAGGAAAACCAGACACAGGTTGTAGATCAGTTTTATTATTTGAAAAATATTTAAATTTTATTCTTTCTTTTTTGAAGACAGTGATTTTATATCTAACTTTCCTAGGAAAGGAGGAATATTGGGGGTGGGGAATAGTTTACATGCATATGTTCTCATTGTATAATTTTACTATTAGTAGGAAACCAGAAAAATGAATGTTTGTAATTCTGCACTTGGATGTGTAGGATAGAGACTTAGTGGTTCTCAGGTATTAGCATAGTGTTTTATGTTGCATTTATTAAGTAACAGATAAAGTGTTTACTGCCAACAGATAGTCACAAATGTAAGAAATACAATTCATGGCTTCAAAAAGCTTCATGGACGATCATTTGATGATCCTATTGTGCAAACTGAAAGGATCAGGATTCCCTATGAGCTTCAGAAAATGCCTAATGGAAGTGCAGGAATTAAGGTAAGTTTATATTCCTGAAATACAAACATATTTGAATTAAAGAACCAAATACCATATTTTTCTTCTTTATTGTTAGCTAGGAAGTTGAATGATAGAAATTGCTTTTTGTGGGAGGTAAGGATATGTAACAGGTAAAGACACTTTTGCAACTAATTTGTTTGTAACAATGTGTTAGGCATTGAAACTTCAGAACTAACATTATGATACTAGAACAGTCTTTTTGGAATATAACTTCCTTGAGCAAGGACTTTGCCTTTTTCAATGTTGTATATTCAACATTTACCGTGGAGATTTTTAAAGAATATTTATTGGATGAATAAATGACTCAATAAAAATCTCTCAACTTTTGGTTTCAGGTGCGGTACCTAGAAGAAGAGAGACCTTTTGCTATTGAGCAAGTTACTGGAATGCTGTTGGCTAAGCTTAAAGAGACTTCAGAAAATGCTTTAAAGAAACCAGTAGCTGACTGTGTAATATCAGTAAGTTTTACTTCAGTAATGAGTACTCTTGAATCCTATTTTCCAGTGTACTATAGTCCTTCCTTATCCATGGGGGTTAAGTTCCAAGACCTAGTGGATGCCTCAAACCATAATACCAAACCTATATCTGTACTATGATTTTTTTTGTATGCATACATACCTTTTCACTTAAAGAAAGGAAGCACTTTACAGTCTCTCTTTGGCATATTCTAATTACCAGCATCACTATTCTTGCACTTTGGGGCTATTATGAGTAAAAAAGGGTGACTTGAACACAAGCACTGTGGTACCACAACAGTCAATATGATAACCGAGGAGGCCATTACATAGGCCCCTGGGCAGAGAGTGCATACAGCATGGATACTTGGGACAAAGTGATGAGTCACCAGGCAGGACAGAGCAGGATAATACTAGATTTCATCACACTACTCAGAAGAGCATACAATTTAAAACTTATGAATTATTTATTTCTGGTATTTTCCATTTAGTATTGTCAGAACTTGGTTGACCATGGATAATTGAAACCCTGGAAAGCAAAACTGTGAATAAGGGAAGCATCCTGTATTGTTATATTTAATGATTTTCTTCCTTTCTTTATTGTTTCTGCCCTTATCCAGTAATAAACTAAATCCAGTTTTACTTTTTTGTTGTTGTTAATCCTCACCGAAGGATAGTCTTCCATTAATTTTTATTTTATTTTATAGAGTGGAAGGGAGAGGGCAAAACACAGAGAGGAGAATGTTGATGTGAGAGAGACAAACCGATTGGCTGCCTCCATATGAGCCCTGACTAGGGCCGGGGATCAAGCTTGTAACCGAGTCACATGCCACTGAATGGAAGCGAACTAGGACCCTCCAGTCCACAGGCCAATTGCTCTATCCACTGAGCCAAACTGGCTTGGGCTCCATTTTTACTTATAGATTAAAAACAAAGTACCGTTTTTGGTAAAGTTCAGGAGAGGGGTTTCCAAAAGTCCTTTATGATAATCAATGAATCTTTTAAAAATATACAACTAATGTATGTGATTAGTGGCTTCTGTAAATGCCACTTCTCCCTAAGAATCTTTCCAGGGAGCACTGACTTTCCTACCTCTAGGGACTTGAACATTGTATCTCAAAGGTTGAAAACTCCCACATGGGACTTTTAGAGTGTGAATATTCTGTATCTTAAAGAAGATGTTTTAATTTTAATGATAAATTGGATATATTTAATATGTATACTTTCTAAAGTTTTGACATATGCATATATCTATAAAATCATTATCACTATAATAAACATATTCCCTTGTGCCTTTTTAAAGATAAAACTTGTTGGTTTTATAAGCTGTACAATGTGATGCTTTCATATCATAGTGAAATGATTAGTGCTATCAAGCTAATTAAAATTAACATATCCACCTCCTCATATGGTTACCTTTTTTTTAATATATTTTATTGATTTTTCACAGAGAGGAAGGGAGAGAGATATTAGAAACATCAATGAGAGTCATCGATCAGCCGCCTCTTGCACACTCCCTACTGGGGATATGCCCGCAACCAAGGTACATGCCCTTGACCGGAATCGAACCCGGGACCCTTCAGTCCCCAAGCCGACGCTCTATCCATTGAGCCAAACCGGTCTCGGCTGGTTACCTTTTTTTAATTTATTTTTGTGTGTGTGTGATGAGAGTACCTGACCTACTTTCTTACACAATTTCCATGATACCAAATTATAAACTACAGAGCCCATGTTGTATATTAGATGAACTAATATATTTTTTCATAGGCCAAACTAACATAAGAAGGATTTAGACTAACATATTTTGAAAGTCCGGCAGTATTATTCCATATTATTTGTTGCTTTAGAATTGTTTGTTCTTTGGGTCACCACTTTATGATATAAAATAGCCAAACTTAAAAACAAAAACAAAACAAAACAAAAAAACAGCCGAAACCGGTTTGGCTCAGTGGATAGAGCGTCAGTCTGGACTGAAGGGTCCCAGGTCGATTCCGGTCAAGGGCATGTACATTGGTTGTGGGCACATCCCTGGTGGGGGGTGTGCAGGAGGCAGCTGATAGATGTTTCTCTCTCATCGATGTTTCTAACTCTCTATCCCTCTCCCTTCCTCTCTGTAAAAAATCAATAAAATTTTTATTTTTTAAAACCCACAAAAACAAAAAAACCAATGCCAGTCCCCCTGGGTTGCTCATAGTGCCCCATGCCAGAGCAAACTGTGACCCTGAACCATAGCCTGCAGGCACTGAAGCAGGTTACACAGTGGATTGTGGGTGGAAGAGTATGTTTTCTCCTTCCTTCCTTCCTTCCTTCCTTCCTTCCTTCCTTCCTTCCTTCCTTCCTTCCTTCCTTCCTTCCTTCCTCCCTCCCTCCCTCCCTCCCTCCCTCCCTCCCTCCCTCCCTCCCTCCCTCCCTCCCTCCCTCCCTCCCTTCCTTCCTTCCTTCCTTTCTTTTTTAATATATTTTGTGGATTTTTTTACAGAGAGGAAGAGAGAGGGATATAGAGTTAGAAACATCAATGAAAGAGAATCATTGATCGGTTGCCTCTTTCACACCCCCTAGTGGGGATGTGCCCGCAACCAAGGTACATGCCCTTGACTGGAATCGAACCTGGGACCCTTTAGTCCACAGGCCTACTCTCTATCCACTGAGCCAAACCGGTTTTGGCATGTTTTCTCATTTATTTCATTAGAACACATTCTTTGCCTTAAGCTGTACACAAGTTTTAGTGTAATTAATTTATATTTTTCAGCTAATGAAATGTTAAAGTAAAACATACTACATAAATTTTATATACTTGTTGTTTTTAAATATCAGATTCCTAGCTTTTTCACTGATGCTGAGAGAAGATCTGTGATGGCCGCAGCCCAGGTTGCAGGTTTAAATTGTTTAAGATTGATGAATGAAACTACTGCAGGTGAGCACTTCGCTGTTTGAAATTACATAAAAAAATACTGTTACTTTTTAAAAACTTATGTACTGGTTCTTGTAAGCTTTTCATTTTGGAGTATAAAAGTTTGGCATGTTTTATATTGGCTATAAGAATCATTAATCTTCAAGAATTATAAATAAGTACAGAAAAAAATAAAATTAAAAATATTAATTAAGCAAATTATGAAGTTAATTTAAAATTAATAATTTGTATTACCCTACTGTGTATTAAAGTGTGTAGTATCAAAGTGATTTATCTGTTTCCATATGACTGCTATACTGAAAGTAACCTAATTCTTTGTTCTTACACAGTTGCACTAGCATATGGAATTTATAAACAGGATCTTCCCCTGTTAGATGAGAAACCAAGAAATGTAGTATTTATTGATATGGGACATTCTGCTTACCAAGTCTCACTTTGTGCTTTTAACAAAGGAAAACTTAAAGTAAGTAAATACGTGATTTGCAATATTTAGCTTTAATGGTTCAGAGCATTTAAGACCATATAGAGAACCTTTATGTCTGCATTTAAAAATCTATGAAAACTGTGAACTTGAGCAAGGTATGTAACCTCTCTAAACCCCAGGTTTCTCACCTGGGGGTACCATTCTGAGGACAAAAGGAGTTGACGTATACAAAGTGTGTGGAATGCCAGATTGTAGATAGTCTACACCAGTCTACTGCCAGTCTGATCACCCCCTAACCACTCCCATGCCAGCCTGATTGACATCTAACTGCTCCCCTGCCAACCCAGTCACCCCCAACTGCCCTCCCCTGCCGACCCAATAGCCCCCAATTGCCTTTCCCTGCAGGTCTAGTCCTCACCTGCCAGTTTGGTCACCCCCCAACCGCCTTCCCCTGTTTTCCTGTTTGCCCCCAACTGCCCTCCTCTGCTAGCCTGATCTTCCACAACTGCCCTTCTCTGCCAACCATCTTGTGGCAGCCATGGTGATGGATTGTGAGGTGGCCATCTTTTGATGGCATGATGGCCATCTAGGCTTTTATTAGTACCCTACCTAATAAAAGAGTAATATGCAAATTAACCACTCTGCTCCACAAGTCATGCCCACCAGCCAATCAGAGTGAGTATGCAAATAAACCCAACCAAGATAGCTACAGCCACAGAGAGCAGGAGGGAGGGGTTTCCCCAGCACTGGAGAAAAATGAAGGAAGCCAAGCTTTCCACCTGCACTTGCCAGCCTAAGCCTCCACTCAAGGCTATAAAGTTTCAATTATAGAAGGTAAACAAATCCAAACAGAAGTGGCTGCTGCCATTGAGCAAGCAGGAGGCTTGGCTCCGCTCCAGGCTACAAAGTTTCAATTGTAGAAAGTAAATATATCCCATATACCAGGGCCTCCGCTTGGGTCGGGTCGCTGGGGGGCATGGCTGGCCTTCAAATCACCACAGTCTCCTCACTTAGGCTGCCCAACGCCCCAAGGGAGCCCCCACCCTGACCTGAGATACCCTTCAGGGCAAATCAGCTGGCCCGCACCCATGCACCAGGCGTCTATCCTATCTAATAAAAGAGTAATATGCAGATTGACCATTACTCCAACACACAATATGGCTGCCCCCATGTAGTCAAAGATCTGGCCCCTATGTGGACAAAAGTTGGCCAACAGAAGAGGGTAGTTGTGAGGGACCAAGCCTGCAAGGGAGGGCAGTTAAAGGCAATGAACCCTGCAGGGGAAGGGCAGTTAGGGGTGACCAGGCCGGCAAAGGAGGGTAGTTGGGGGTAAACAGGCTGGCAGGGGAGCAGTTAGACATCAATCAGGCTGGCATGGGAGTGGTTAGGGGGTGATCAGGTTGGCAGGCAGAAGCAGTTAGGAGCAAGCAGGAAGGCAGGCAGGGGATCAGTTGGAAGCCAGCAGTCCTGAATTATGAGAGGGATCCCAGATTGGAAAGGGTACAGGCTGGGCTGAAGGACAACGCTCCACCCCCCTGACCCCATGCACAAATTATGTGCACCAGGCCTCTAGTACATATATAAAGCTCTAACTGTCACCATACACATGCGTGTTTTGATCTGTCATTGTCATTTATAAATTTGGTTGACACTTCTATCATAGAGAAAGGGCAAATAGCGATATTTCTTCTAATTAATTTCTTTTCAATGTGCATGAATTTGTGCATGGGGCCACTAGTAGTTTATATATGACTCTTAACACCTCCTTGTAATCAGAAAATTAGATGGAGATGACTCACACTGAATGTAGGGTAGTTTTCTGTAAATGGTTTCATTGGAAGTTAATCTTGAATTTTTACTTAAGGAAAAGTAAATTAAAAATTTCTTTTCTTTTTAGTAAATACTTAGAGTAGTGATCATAGAACTCTTTGAACATTTGATAAAATCTATTCTCTCCAAAAGGATGTACATTTGTACAAGTCACATACTACCGTAATACAATTTTGCATGTTACTAGACCATGTAAGAAGTCTGTGCATGGATTCCCCATGTTAGTCTGTGGGAGAACATCCCAGTCAGATTATGCCCACTTCGTACTATCATGTTTACCACTATTCTACCACCCATCCTTGTGGGAGAAAAAAGCTGCTGAAAAATACAAACAGTGGGACTCTATGTTTTAGTAGTTACTTTGTAAGTAGGCATTTCTGCCCTCTACAATGGGGAGAGAGACTACATATCTTGATCCTATGACTTCTAAGAGCTCTAGAGTTGAAGTTCTGTGACTTGTCTATTCTTGTTCCACCTGATTGCTAGCTGGGGCTTATTGGTCAGCATGTTTACCATGTCAAATTCTTGTTATTTTTTTTAAGTTGTGTCTTTTTAAAAAATATATATTTTATTGATTTTTTTACAGAGAGGAGGAGAGAGGGATAGAGAGTTAGAAACATCGATGAGAGAGAATCATCGATCAGCTGCCTCTTGCACACCCCCTACTGGGGATGTGCCTGCAACCAAGGTATATGCCCTTGACCAGAATCGAACCCGGGACCTCTCAGTCCACAGGCCGACGGCTCTATCCACTGAGCCAAACTGATTTTGTCATTCTTCTTCATACTTTTCGGTGTTCTTTTTTTCTCTCTCATGTATTCTTTTGTTTTTCTGTATTTTTATAAAAATAGACTTGTTTTTTGTTTTTGTTTTTTAATAATTTAAGTTCTACTCCCTGAACTATACATTGACCAATTATATTATTTTAGGGTTTAATCTTTGGATCACTTTGCTTAGCTACTTTATTTTTGGTTATGTATTTATGACTATTTCTTTGTTCTGTTAAACTTAGTTTTTGGCCTACCTATTCAGTGCTGTTATAGAATAAAAAGGTGTGTAATGGTAAAGTTTTAGTTGTTGTAACTCAGTTATTTCAGAATTAGTTATTTAAAATATTTTTATGGATTTCAGAGAGGAAAGGAGAGGGAGAAAGAGAGAAAAACATTAATGATGAGAGAGAATCATTGATCGACTGCCTCTTCCACATCCTATACTGGGATTTTAGCCCACAACCCAAGCATGTGCCCTGACCAGGAATCAAACCATGACCTCCTGGTTCATAGGTCATTGCTTATCCATTGAGCCATTCTGGCCAGGCTAGAGTTACAGTATTCTTAAATTATGATATGTTGATATGTAACCTAAAGCAGATAATTCAGAGTGAGTACATATTCTGGCTAAATATAATTGATATAAGGACTTCAAATTTGGTATCCCAGTGGGTTTTGACAAGTTTTTTGGGTTTGATTTCATTTTAATTTTAAAAGGGTATTTTTGTTTGTTTGTTTGAAATATATTTCTTAAAATTCCATTCTGGTTTTTCAATTAAACAGGTATTGGCTACTACCTTTGATCCATATTTGGGTGGCAGGAACTTTGATGAGGCTTTAGTAGAATACTTCTGTGATGAGTTCAAGACCAAATATAAGATAAATGTGAAAGAAAATGCTCGAGCCTTGTTGCGTTTATATCAGGAATGTGAAAAATTAAAGAAGCTAATGAGTGCAAATGCGTCAGATCTTCCACTGAACATCGAGTGTTTCATGAATGATCTTGATGTTTCTAGTAAAATGAACAGGTACCATGTATGTTTTCAGTTGGGAAAGTGTTTGCTTATTTTATAATGTTGAGATTCTGTTATTTTAGAAGATATGCTTGATTTTTAGGTTTCAAGTAGTGAATTTTATTTCATTTTTCCACAGGGCTCAATTTGAACAATTATGTGTTTCCCTCTTTGCCAGAGTTGAACCACCATTAAAAGCAGTACTGGAACAAGCTAGTAAGTGGAGATTATTGGACTAACCATGGAAACTGTAGCATGGTATTATTCATTTGAATGGTATAGGACAGCTATTTTCAGTCAGTATGCTGCAAGAATTTTTAAAACATATAATACCTGACTATTTAATCAGGGACAATGACACTTATTTCCCTTAGAGTATCAAATAAAAAAATGACAACAGCCAGCACAATAATAACTATCCACTATGAATGAATCAAAATTTTACCTATTTTTTTTGTGTGTGTGTGAGTTAGGCAAAAAATATAATTTTGGCGTGCCACAGAATTTTAGTAATTGGTTTATATATGCTATGAGAGGAAAACAGTTGAAAATCTCTGGTGTTGGAAATGGTAAAACTATAAACCTTCATCTTTTTTTTTTTGAATATTTGTATTCCTCATTTCAGAGGAGGAGATTATGATAAAAATAAGATAGTAGAAATCTGGGTTTTTGAGAACTTATCCTGGTTCATTTTATTATTTATATCATACAACTAATGCTAGTAAAAACTAAGGTGTTTACTAACATGAAAGTAAATGGGACCCTAGCTGGTTTTTCTCAGTGATTAGATCAATGGCCTGTAGATTGAAGGGTCTGATTCCAAACAAGGACACGTAACTCAGTTGCAGACTCGAAATCCTTGGTTCTAGTCTCCCCAGTTCTAGTCAGGGCACATGCAGGAGGCAAGTAAACTATGTGTCTCTCACATCAATGTTTCCCTTTCTCTCTACCTTTGCTCCCTTCCTTCCACTTTCACTAAACATCAGTAGAAAAATATCCTCAGGTGAGGATTAAATTTAAAAAAAAAGTAGAAATGGAAATATGCTTGCTTGTTGTTAAAGTTTTTGGTAATAATTAAAAGTATCTTCTGTGGGAAAAATTCTAATTAAAAACTGTTCCCAAGGAAATAAGTATATTTTGCCCTTTAAAAAAATTGTTTTCGTGTGGATTCTGGAGGTGAAAGATAAAACATTGAAAGACTCTGGAGAGTCCCTTTAAAGCCCATGAGACCTAACTGGTTTGGCTCAGTGGATAGAGCATCGGCCCTCGAACTGAAAGGTCCCAGGTTCGATTCCGGTTAAGGGCCCGTGCCAGGTTGTGGACTCAATCCCCAGTAGGGGACATGAAAGAGGCAGCCACTCAGTCATTGATATTTCTCTGAAATGAGTAAAAACATATTAAAAATAAGTAAATAAATAAAGTCTATGAGATACTTGTTCTTATTGTCACTGTCACCAAGTGCAGTGCCTGACACATAGGTAGTACTTATTAAATTTCACCTTTTAATTGCCCATCTTCTTTCCCTTTATTCTTGTTTTGAGCAAATGAAATATTCACTTTTTAATAAAGTACTTTCCAACGTCTGCTTTCTACATTGTTACAAAGATTACCTTATTTTTCTCAAAAACATTTTGCTTTCCAGACTTACAGCGTGAAGACATAAGTAGTATAGAAATTGTAGGAGGAGCAACTCGAATTCCTGCAGTAAAGGAACAAATCACGAAATTCTTCCTTAAAGACATAAGTACCACATTAAATGCTGATGAAGCTGTTGCAAGAGGATGTGCATTACAGGTATGATTAATATTAGTTGTATTTTGGAATGTGTATTTTTCCAGAAATATGGTGATAGACCTAAAAGGAGTTTAAATATTATCTAGTCTAACCACTTGTCAATAGGCTAAAAGTAAATTGAAATTATTCCTGAAAAGTAAGTCTTATGTCTTTCCTATTTTTTATTTCTGTTAAGTATATTTTTATTGATTTCAGAAAAGAAGGGAAATGGAGAGAGAAATAGAAACATCAATGATGAGAGAGAATCATTGATTGGTTGCCTCTTGCAAGCCCTTTACCAGAAATCAAGCCTGCAACGTGGGTATGTGTTCTGACCAGAATTGAACCTTGACCTCCTGGTTCAGAGGTCGATATTCAACAACTGAGCCAAGCTACTTATAATTTTACACTATCATAAAACAGTATGTCTATAACTTTTATTTTATGAATCCATGTAATTATTCCCATTACAAATTCTTTTTGGGGGTTTTAAAATATTTTTGTATTAATTTGTTAAGGTCACAGAAAAAGTACTCAGACACTTTCATTAAAAAATATATATTTTATTGATTTCAGAGAGGAAGAGAGAAGGAGAAAATCATGGAACAGTTGCCTCCTGCATGCCCTACTGGATTGGGCCTGCAACCCAGAAGGTTCCATGATTGGAAATCAAATTGTGATCTCCTGATTCAAACACTTAGCCACTGAATCACACCAGCTGGGCAAAACTTTTAACTTTTAACTAGTTTTACCATTAAACAGTTATTTTAAAATGTAACAATTTTATTGCAAGGACTTTATTAAGCAGTTTAATCAAGGGTGATCTAGTGTGTGCTTTGTGTTTGTTGATTTAAATATGATGTACATTTTATTGGCAGTGTGCGATTCTCTCACCAGCATTTAAAGTGCGTGAGTTTTCCATAACGGACATTGTTCCCTACTCAATCTCATTACGATGGAAGACCTCTTTTGAAGATGGAACTGGGTCTGGGTAAGTTACTTTTTAATATGTTTGTGTTTTTTATTGAAGAGAGAGAGAGAGAGAGAGAGAAAGAAACAAACATTGATGAGAAAACAAATCATAGATCAGCTGCCTTTGGTATACCATCTACTGGTAATAGAGCCTGAAACTCCAGGTATGTGAACAGGAATCAAACCAGCAACCTTTTGGTTGTGAAGCAAAACACCCAATCAGATGAGCGAAAAGAAAAAAATAATCTAAAAGTAAAATAGTATAAAGAGTCTCTGGGACAATTTCAAATGTACCAACATTTGAATTATTGGGGGGCCAGAAAGAGAAGAGAGAGAGCAAGATATTGAAAACCTATTTGAAGAAATAATGACAGAAAACTTCCCCTACCTCATGAAAGTAATCGACTTACAGTCCAGGAAGCACAGAAGCCCCCAAAGGAACCCAAGGAGGCCCACACCAAGACACATTATTGTTAAAAGACCTAAGGATCAAGACAAAGAGATAATCTTAAAACCAGTAAGGGAAAACAAGTTAGTAAGAAGAAAGATAATAAATATGAACAATATAAAATATTGATAGCAATAAATATGTCAGCAATTGAATCTAAAAATCAAAATAAATAAATAGTCTAATAAACAGAATAAATTGATGAATAAAATAGAACCAGAGTCATGGAAACATAGAGCAGATTGACAAATCTCAGAGGGAAAGAGGAGGGGCAGGAAGAGATTAACCAAAGTACTTATATGCGTACTAGTGACTTGGTGCACAGATTCCTGTACATTGAAAGGACATTAATTAGGAGATGGCCGGCAGGGTGGGGCTGGACCAGATGGGCCGGACATGCCCTGGAGCCAATCTCCTGCAGTTCCTCCCTGGCTGGCTGCACCTGGGGCGGCGCGATGGCTTGAAGAGAGTCTGCGGAGTGAGCAGGGTCCCTTCAGCAGGTGGGGTGTCTCGGCCTGGCCTGCGGGAATCGGGCTGAAATGGGCTCTCCGACATCCCCTGAGGGGTCCTGGAGTGCGAGAGGGCACTCTGCAAAGTTGCTGTCATACAGGGTGTGGAACGCAGATGCAAGTGTGCAGTAAACCGGATTCAGGGCCAACAGTCTCCCAGCAACAACATAACCAATGGCTGAAGGTGGAATTGAGCACCCCGCAAGGAATCAGGATTGTTCCTCTATGGTTTTGGGGTGTGTCACCCAAGAACTGTCGCTGCCAAGTCACCGCAGCTTGGCAGCTCCTGCATTGAGTGTCTGCCCCATGGTGGTCAGTGTGCATCATACCTACCGGCTGGTCAGACGGTTGGACGATTGCTTAACCGCGTGTGTGTGTGTGTGTGTGTATGTGTGTGTATATGTGTATGTGTATGTATATGTGTATGTGTATGTGTATATAGACATACACACACACACATTACCTATGGACACAGACAATAGGGTGTTGAAGACTTGGCTCGAGGCTGGAACCATGTGGAGGAGGGCAATGAGGAAATAAAGGAGTATATCTGTAATACTCTCAACAATAAAGATTTTTAAAAAAGAAAATATATGCAAAGTTAAATTTTAAAGTAAATATATCTTATTAACTACAATAAGAAAATAAAAGGTAATGGATTCATGAATACTAGGATAGGGAAATGGTCCATGAATATGAAAATTTTAAACCTTGCCTACTTCATAGGATGATACTATGTATTGAAGAATGTGTTTTTCTGGCCCTATGCCTTTTGGCTCAGTGAATGGAGCGTCAGCCTGTGGACTGAAGGGTCCTGGGTTTGATTCTGTTCAGGGTCATGTGCCCGAATTGTGGGCTCAATCCCCAGTGGGGTCATGCAGGAGGCAGCCAATCAATGACTCTCTCCCATCATTGATGTTTCTATCTCTCCCTTTCCCTCTTTGAAATCAATAAAAATACATATTTTTTAAAAAAGAATATGTTTCTGGAACACTGTAAACAACAGTTATAAAACTGTTACACTACTTAATAAATAGAAATTGCTTTGTAGGTTTTTAAATTGCCTGTACTGGAGATAAGAAAATACTACAAATGGCATTATTACATCAATTTTAAAAATTAAAATATGAATTACATATTAAAGTATCGATGTAAATTTATAAAGTTGACAGTTGTACTGTTGTTATATTAGAGAATATCCCTATTAGGAAATACACATTGAAGCACTTAAGGTAAATGGCTATAAATGTATATAATAGCCTCTATTGTTTCAGAAAAAAAATATACACATACATTGACAGTGTGTATACACTCAAATTATGAAACAAATGGGGTTAAAATGTTAGTAGTAATAAATCTAGGTTAAAAAATATATATATATAGGTGTTTATTCTTGCACAATTCTGTAAGTTTGAAATTTTTTTCAAATAAAAGTTCCTTTTTAAAGAAGCTAGAATAAAAAAAGTTCCACTTGGTAAGTATTTTGGAAACTAATGGGTAGGATTTGGTCCTCAGATGTAAGTAAAAGACAACAACAAAAAGATAATCTCTCTATATTAGCCTTAACATATACCTATTCTCAGGGGAACTTTTTTTTTAATTTTAGTGGCACTAGTATGATGACAGACATTCTAAAATCTTTGAGCCATAAGCCGATCAAATCCAGGTTAATAATACAATTTATTTTTCTATACTTTGTGCATGGAAAGAGGCCTTTATAATTGCTATTTATGAATTAAAAATGAGGTGAATTCTCTAATTATTTTCATAGGCAACCTTCTATTTGTTTTAAACTGCATCTTTTCTTACTCCATGTTAGGGAATGTGAAGTATTCTGTAAGAACCATCCTGCTCCATTCTCAAAGGTTATTACTTTCCACAAGAAGGAACCATTTGAGCTAGAAGCGTTTTATACTAATTTACATGAAGTGCCTTATCCTGATCCAAGAATTGGTAAGAGAAAGTTTTCATGAATTTTTTATTTTTGTAAATAATATGTTTGAATTAAGGGAACAAATAAGTTGATAGTTAAGCTAAGCCAGCACTGGATTTTAAAAGAAAGATTTCCATACCTTTATCTAAACATGTATTTTGTTAAAGCTCAGAGTTGGTTTCTGAAATAACAGCAAAGCTTGAATTTTTAAAATTTATTTTGACATCCATGTCTTTCCCCCCCCACCCCTCTCTCTCCTTCCCCCGTCCCTTCCACTCCTTTAAAATCAATGGAAAAAATATCCTCAGGTGAGGATTAACAACAAAAAAAGAGAGAAAGAATCATTCTTAAGTTTTAAAATTCTCTATGTGTTGCTTTTAATGACAGACTAGAAAGGGGACATTATAAATATTTCAAGTACAATATTTAAATCAGGAGATATTAAGTACTAAAGGCGGTATTCATTTGCTAGGGTTTTTTAACAGAGTACCACAAACTGGGTGGCTCAAACAATAGAATTTTGTCTCACAGTTTTGGATGCTAAAAGTCTGAAATCAAGGAGCTGATTTGGAAGGAGGATCCATCCGTTCTAGACTTCTTCCCTTGGCTTATAGGTGGTCATGTTCACATGACATTCTGTCTGTATACCTGTCTCCAAATAAACATACCAGACATTGGATTAGAGCCCACTCTGATAACCTCATTTTAACTTGATTAACCTCTGAAAAGACCTTATCTTTATTTTTATATTTTTATATTTTATTTTTTTTTTACAGAGAAGAAGAGAGAGGGATAGAGAGTTAGAAACATTGATGACAGAGGATCATCGATCAGTTGCCTCTTGCACACCCCCTACTGGGGATGTGCCCGCAACCAAGGTACATGCCCTTGACTGGAATCAAACCTGGGACCTTTCAGTCCGCAGTACGATGCTCTGTCCACTGAGCCAAACCGGTTTTGGCAAGACCTTATCTTTAAATCAGGTCTCCTTCTGAAGTATTGGAAAGTAGGACTTCAATATATGAAGGGCAGGGAGGGGAGCGTAATTCAACCCACAAAGCAGGGCAACCATGTTGTTTACTACTCATTTTTTCTGCCTAGTATTCTTTCTCTACATGGATATCATTATTTGAGATTTAAAAAAAATAAAACATTAGATTTCTTTTTTTTTTTTTTAATCCTCACCCAAGGATATGTTTTTATTGATTCTAGAGAGAGGGGAAGGGAAAGGGAGAAAGAAACATTGATGTGAGAAAGAAACATTGATCAGTTGCCTCCTCACCAAGGACTGAACCTATAACCTAGGTATACGCCCTGACTGCAAATCGACCCGCATCCTTTTAGTGCACAGGACAATGCTCCAACCCATTGAGCCACCTGGCCAGGGCAGCATTGGTAGATTTTTTTTTCTACTTACATAATTTATTCCTTAATGTACTTTCATATTTATTTTTACATTTGCCTTAAGTTATAAATAATTCAAAATAATTGCATGATCTATAAATATCTCTATATATCAAAATGATGATTTAATGACTTAATGGTGAATCTTTCGTCATTTGTGTTTTATCCCTCTACCATTTTAATTTTGAAAAATTGCAAAGCTATAAGAAATTGAAGGAATAGTTTAGTGCAGCAGTTGCCAACCTTTCAGACTTCACGGACCACCAGTGGTCCCCAGATCCCACTGGCTGGCAACCACCTGTTTAGTGAACACCATGTATTCACCTAGATCCAGTTGCTAACCTCACAGATACATATACTATTTAACAAACTGTTTGAAAGTAAGGCATAGATATCAACAACTCACCACTAATTATATGCCACAGGTCTCTTAAGAAGAACATTCTCTCACATTAAGACATTATCATACACAAGAAATTTATTTTTGGAATAATACTGTTTACTATACAGCCCATATTCAAATTTCTCTGGTTATCTACAAAGATAATCTTTGTAACTGTACTTGAAAAATTAATATGACCTCTATAGACATTAGTGACTGAATAACAGCAATTTTGCTATAGGAAAAATCCAGGGAAGGTTTAAGTCATTTTATTTATGAATTATCAAGATGATTATGATTTGCATAACTTGTAGCAAAAGGGTCATTTTATATTTGGTCAGAAATTTGAATTTTATTTTGGTTTTAGAGCATTAAAAACAACTTAAAAGTTATATTTCCTTGAGTCAGATTGTTGATGGTTAAAATCCCATCTCTCCTTTTTTTCTAGCATTGTTGATTTTGGACAGGTTGCTTACTCTTTCTAAGTATTAATACCAAATTTATTAAGGTATGAAAATGATCTGGGGAAAATACCTGTCTTGCAGTAATTAATCTGGATTTGGTAATAATTTCACAATTATTTGCCATCATTGGAAAGATGATAGTCAAATTGCTGAATTGAATGAGTTAATCTGAGGCCCTTGTATTGATCAAAGCTCTTTTTCCTTTAAGGGAGCTTCACTATTCAGAATGTTTTTCCACAGCCTGATGGTGATAATGCTAAAGTGAAGGTTAAAGTTCGCATTAATATCCATGGAATCTTCAGTGTGGCTAGTGCATCAGTAATTGAGAAGCTAAATATAGAAGGGGATCACATCGATGGTCCTATGGAGACAGAAACTTCATTTAAGGATGAAAGCAAAGATGATGTGGTATGTAAAAATTTTGTTTCAAATTCCTCTAATTAAATATATAGTACTAGAGGCCTGGTGCATGAATTCATGCACGGGTGGGGGTCTCTCAGCATGGCCTGCAGGGATTGGGCCAAAACTGGGAGTCCAACACCACCTGCTGCTCCTGCTCATCCTGGCCCTGCAATGTGAGGGGGAGAGATCATGGGAGGTTGGCCAGCCAGCCCCTTAATTGGGACCAATGGGGCCGATGGCATGGGGGAGGGGCCGAGGGAAGTTGGCTGACCAGGGGCGGAGGGGCCACAGGAGACTGGCCAGCCGGCCCCCCAATTGGGGCCTATTGGGGGGACCGGCCAGCAGGGGGTAGGGGCCACGGGAGGTTGGCAGGTGTGGGGGGAGGAGGACCCATGGGAGGTTGGCTGTGGGAGCACACTGACCACTAGGGTGTAGCTCCTGCATTGAGTGTCTGCCCCTGGTGGTCTATGCACATCATAGCAACTGGTCAACCCAGGACCTTTTAGTCCACAGGCCGACGCTCTATCCACTGAGCCAAACCGGTTTTGGCCCACATTAAATTTTTTATTGACATTTTTCATGTGAAATTTAATAGGGTTTTTTTTGTTCTTGTTTGTAAGCTTCCTTTTGTGAATTTGATTTGAAATTTTCCCATTTATTATGTGTGTGTTTTTGCCTCAAGTGAATCACACAAGATTTATATACAGCATCAAATAGATCTTTTCATTTTAATTACCTGTTGCTTGTAAAGTTATTTTCATGATTGAAAACAAGCTTCAGTTTTACTGTTTATATAGTTCAAAAATAGACTTGAACTCTAATATGCTGTTTATTAAAGAAAAATAGACACTACAAATACTATTTTCTTTTCAGGAAAAAATGCAGGTTGACCAAGAAGAAGGTCATCAACAGTGTCACGCTGAGCACACCCCAGAAGAGGAAATTGATCATACAGGAGCCAAAACAAAGGTTTGTTTTACTATTTCTATGGTTGTGTCTTATGGGGATTGAATAATTTAAGTTTATGTATTTACTTTATAATGTATGTTTTTAATACACTTGATTTTTTGATTTTTTAAATATTTATTGTTGAGAGTATTATAGGTGCCCCCCATCATTCCCCCCATGGCCCCACTCCATCCAGTTCCTGCCCTACCCCATGCCTTCACCACCTTATTGTTGTGTCCATCAGTAATACATATATGTATATCTTTGGTTAATCTATTCCCACTCACCACAACCATTTCCCTCTAAGACTGATCAGTCTGTTCCATATTTCCATGCTTCTGTTTTATTTATCAATTTATCTTGTTCATTCGATTTCTTGTTCATTTATTTTTATATTTAGATTAAATTATTGATAGATATGTGTTTTTTGCCATTTTATTTTTCATATTCTTTATCTTTTCTTCTTCCTTCTCTCCTTAAAGAATTACCTTCAATATTTTGTCAAAACCGGTTTGGCTCAGTGGATAGAGCGGACTGAGGGGTCCCAAGTTCAATTCCAATCAAGGGCATGTACATTGGTTGTGGGCACATCCCTGTTAGGGGGTATGCAGGAGGCAGCTGATCGATGATTCTCTCATTGATGTTTCTAATTCTCTATCCCTCTCCCTTCCTCTCTGTAAAGAATCAATAAAATATATATATTTTTTTAAATAACAAAAAAACACACAACACATTTCATGTAATACTGGTTTGGTGCGATGAACTCCTCTAGCTTTTTCTTGTCTGTGAAGCTCTTTATCTGATTCTAGATGATCACTTTGCTGGGTAGACTAATCTTGGTTGTAGGTCCTTGCTATTCATCACTTTGAATATTTCTTGCCACACCATCTGGCCTGTAAAGTTTCTGTTGAGAAATCAGCTGATAGTCATATAGGTGCACCCTTATAGGTAACCAACTGCTTTTCTTTTGCTTCTTTTAAGATTCTTTGTTTTTAAACCTTGGCATTTTAATTTTGATCTGTCTTACTTGATGTTGCTTCTTTGGGTTCCTCTTGTTTGGGACTCAGCGCTTCCTGGACTTATAAGTCTGTTTCTTTTACCAGGTAGGGGAAGTTTCCTATTATTATTTCTTCAAATATGTTCTCACTATCTTTCTCTCTCTTCTTATGGCACCCCCATAATGCAAATATTGGTAAGCTTGAAGTTACCCCAGAGGCTCCTTATACTATCTTCATACTTTTGGATTCTTTTTCCTTTTTGCTCTAAAGGCTGGGTATTTTTTCTTCTTTTGCTTCCTCATATTCCAAATCATCTATTTGATTCTCAGAATCCTCTACTGGTAAAAACAAAACAAAACAAAACAAAAAAACCTATAAATTATTCTTTATTTCAGCTAGTGTATGCTTAATTTTTGACTAGTCCTTTTTCATGTCTTTTAAATTCTCACTAAGATCCTTGAAAGGCTCACTACGTCCCTTGAAGCTCTTATTAAGATTCTTGAGTTGCCAAAACTGGTTTGGCTCAGTGGACGGAGTGTCAGCCTGCAGACTGAAAGGTCCCGGGTTCGATTCCAGTCAAGGGCATGTACCTTGGTTGCAGGCACATCCCCAGTGGGGGTTGTGCAGGAGGCAGCTGGTCGATGTTTTCTCTCATCAATGTTTCTAACTCTCTATCCCTCTCTCTTCCTCTCTGTAAAAACTCAATAAAATATATATTAAAAAAAAAAAAAAAAGATCCTTGAGTAACCTTATAACCATTATTTGGACTCTGTATCCAGTAAGTAGATTGCTTGCTTCCATTTCTTTCATTTGAAACATGTTTCTTTGTCTCCTCATATTGGCTGTTTCCCTGTTTATTTCTATGTATTAGGTAGAGCTGTTATGTCTCCTGGAATTGATAGGATGGCCTTGTGTAATAGATGTCCTATAGGGCCCAGTGGTTCAGCCTCCCCAGGCACCTTAGCTGGGCATTCAAGGTGTGCCCCTTGCCGAAACCGGTTTGGCTCAATGGATAGAGCATCGGCTTGGGGACTGAAGGGACCCAGGTTCGATTCCGGACAAGGGCATGTACCTTGGCTGCGGACACATCCCCAGTGGGGGGTGTGCAGGAGGCAGCTGATCGATGACTCTCTCTCATCGATGTTTCTGGCTCTATATCTCCCTCCCTTCCTCTCTGTACAAAATCAATAAAATATATTTAAAAAAAAAAGGGGGGGGGTGCCCCAGTGTGATTTTCATGCACAGTCTTATAGTTGAGTTTTGACTGCTTTTGACATCACTGGGAGTAATTGACCTATAGGTCAATTGACTGTGAGGACCAGCTGCAACCATAGTGGAAGAACTGCTGTGCATGAGACAACCCTATGGATCAGGACTTGCTTCAGTGGGACTTTGGTGCTCACTGAGTCTTCCCCTTGAGTGTGTCACTTGTGAATGTGAAGAGTTGTAATATGGTATGATCTGAAGCTGTCTACTGTGCACACTGGCTTTGGGGCCTCCCAGTAGAAGCTACAGAGAGATCTACAGATTGCTGCTATTTGTATTGGGCTAGGAAGTGCCTAGGCAAGGCCCAGTTGTGAAGCAAGGCAGGCTGGTGCTAGTGCTGGGTCTTGGGCCCTTTATTGATAGGTTTGTGACAGGCTGACTCCAATTCCTCTTGTTGAAAAGATTTTAGCAAAGTCTGAAGCCTAAGCCAGAACAGGCCATTCATATAGAAAAGTAGCTGCAAACAGCTTGGATGGGACTGCAAATTGGATGGGGCAGGATCTCAGGGAATCATCAGGATGGAGAAAACAATGTAGGCCATGCTGATGGAAAATCAGATATGGATGCCAGTCCACTCTGCCATAGGGAGGCACCAGCACAGGAACCATGAACTCTATGAGCATCCTAGGCTGTGAGAAAGCCACTCCCCAAGTTCCTGCCCTGATATCTGACAGTCCAGTTCCTTCCCCTATGTTCTTGGATGTCTCCAAAGCCTCTTCCCAGCAGTGGAGCTCAAAGGAAGCTGGGCCATGAAAATTTGTGTGTGGGCCTTTCAAGACAGACGTGTTGTTGTCATGGCAACAACACAAGCATCCTGCCCTGCCCCCAGCTGCTCAGCATCAGCATATGCAAATTAACCTGCCATCTTTGTTCAGTTACTTTGCATACTCACTCCTGATTGGCTGGTGGGCATCACAAAGGTATGGTCAATTTGCAACTTTATCTTTTATTAGTGTAGATTGATCAACTTGGGCATGTACCTAGGACTGGAATTGCTGGATATATGGTATCTTTTATTTTTTGAGAAACTGTTTTCTAGAATGGCTCTAATTTACTATCTTGTCAGTTATGAATAAGAGTTCCAATTTCTTCACATCCTCATCAATTGTCATTTTCTATTTTTTATATTACTGCCATCTTAATGGATGTAAAATAGCATCTCATTATGGTTTCAATTTGCATTTCCAGTCCAATATATTTTATATAAAAAGACTGAATGTGCAGAGTATAAAATGTTATCAGAATTAAAGTAGTATTTTAAAATATAGTTGATAAGTTTTATTTAATTTTACTTTCTTATTTCATCTGAAATTACTCTTAAATCTATTTTTAAACTAGCTTTAGAAATTTATTATCCTCTTTTTTTTTTTTTCAGTCAACTCCCTCAGACAGACAAGACCGATTAAACCAGACCATTAAAAAAGGAAAAGTCAAGAGTATTGATCTACCTATCCATAGTAGCCTGTGTAGACAACTGGGCCAAGATCTTCTCAATAGCTACATTGAAAATGAGGTATATAATTCCCATGTTGATGTTAAAATAGGTAGTAGTGTATTCTGAGATTTTTGTAGAAGTCAACAGTTATCCCCCCAAATGAGGTAATTAGTTTATAACTACTAAGAAATTACTAAATAGATCATTAAACTACTGTATTTTGGACAAAATATGAGCTGTATTAATGTCATGTACATTTTCATCTTAGTTATATGAGGAAACATGATTATTTCCACTATAGAGACTAGTCCAACAATAATGATTCCTACCCCTTCTAGTCTGTCTTTAACAGTAACACCCAGCAAATACCTTATGGGGAAGTAATAGCAGCTCTCCTCTTCTAATGTGTTGTCCTAAAAGATAAATACTCTATTCAAAATGCTTCCTGGCTTAGAATTAATACTTTGTAAAATTTGTTGTTCTTGAAATTTTCCTTAAATATTTAAATGTTTTAGTCTCTTGAAGAGTTTTGTTTCTTTAATAGTAATTGTGTAAGAAATAGTTTACTTTTATTTGTTTATTTTTATTTCAGAAAGGGAGAGGGATAGAGAGAAAACATCAATGAGAGTCATTGATTAGCTGCCTCCTGCACACCCCCCACTGTGGATCAAGCCCACAACTTGGGCATGTGCCCTGACTGGGAATTGAACTGTGACCTCCTGAATCTGAGTATGTACAATTACATGGAATATATGGCTTTTAAACAATATATCAATTCTAGCCATTGCTGATTTGGCTCAGTGGATAGAGCATCAGCCTGTGAACAGAAGGGGTCCCGGGTTCGATTCCAGTCAAGGGCACGTGCCCGGATTGCAGGCTCAGTCTCCAGTGGGGCTATGCAGGAGATAGCCAATCAATGATTCTCCCTCATCATTGATGTTTCTATCTCTCTCCTTTTTCCTTCCTCTCTGAAATCAATAAAAGCATATTTTAAAAAATAAATAATAAAATAAAATTCTAATCCACTTTCTGTCTCTACAAATTGGCCTATTGTAGATGAACATAATCATACAATATTTACTATATAAATGTAGTCATACAATATTTGTTCTTTGATGTCTGACTTATTGCACTTAGGAGATGTTTTCAAGTTTACCCATGTTTTAACATGTATTAGAACTTCTGTTGTAGGTTAATATTCCATTGTGTATATGTACATTTTATTTATCCATTCATCTGTTAGTGGACAATTTCTACATTTTCGCTATTATGAATATTTCTGCAGTGAACCCTGGTATACAAATATCTGTTTGAGTTGCTACTCTGGATTTATACCTAATTGCTGGGTCATATTGTTATTTGAGGAACCACCAAACTTTTTTGTCACTGCAGTAGCATTGTACATTTCCAACAGCAGTGTACAAGTGTTTCATATTCTGCACATCTTCACCAGTAATTGTTTTCTTAGTCATCTTATGAAATGGTATTTTCATTGCGCTTTCGACTTGTATATCCCCAACTCCCTAATATTCTTAATGGCACCTAATATGAAACTTTAACCTAATTTGAACAGGGGAAAATGATAATGCAAGATAAATTGGAGAAAGAGAGAAATGATGCTAAGAATGCTGTTGAAGAATATGTATATGATTTTAGAGACAAGCTGGGCACTGTCTATGGAAAGTTCGTCACTCAAGAAGTAAGTCTAGGTCTGGCCAATTGGCTCAGTAGGTTGGAGAGTTATTCCTTACACCAGGAGGTTTTGGGTTCTATTCCCAATCATAGCATATATGGGAGCAAACCAATTGATGTTTCTTCTATGTCTTTGATTCTTTTTCTCCCTCACTCTTCCCTCCCTCTGTATCTCTCTAAAAATCAATTTTAAAAATATCCTCAAGTGAAAAAAAAAAGTATGTTTTTTACTACCCTGCTTGCCCGAAAATAAGATAGTGTCTTATATTAATTTTTCTCCCAAAGATGCGCTAGGTCTTATTTTCAGGGGATGTCTTATCTTTCCATGCACTAGGACTTATTTTCGGAGGATGTCTTATTTTCGGGGAAACACGATAGAACTACTTGTAGTGTTTGCTTGTGACTGCTAATACAAATTATGTAAATAAATGTGTTAAATGCATTATTGTCAATCTTGAGCACATTTAGGAATGGTTCTTATTTTTCCAATTAGCAGGAGTATGGTGAAGAATATATTTATAAATAAAAGTAAAAAATATGAAATTCAGTTTTTTATATTTAAAAACATTATTTCCTTCATTAAATTTATATTTCTAAGGAAAGCATTTTTAGTCACCGTCTTTTAAATGTATATCTAGGACTTGAATAAACTATCCGCAGTATTGGAAGATACAGAGAATTGGCTTTATGCAGAAGGAGAGGACCAGCCTAAACAAGTTTATGTGGATAAGCTTCAAGAACTAAAGGTAAATTTTTTAAAGTCCATGTTAGTGCAAAATAGAATATTATTAATTTTTCCTAAAAATTGGTTGTAAGAGCACAGTGTATTTTTTTCATAAATATGTAAGAAATTACTAAGGCAGACATGTGTAAGAGGAAATGTTTTTTCTTATTTAAAAAGCATTTTGAGAAGTGAGCAATGCTATATATGTAATTGAAATCAAATAATGATAATTATATTTGTCTGTCATGATTCTCAGATATAAATATTTAGATGACCAGAATGTTAGTGTTACTTTAACAAGCCATATATTTCTGAGATGTCATTAAAAGTGATTTGTCAACCTAACCCCTTCTTATTAGAGGAGTCACACTTCCTCAGCTTTTCTCCCCATTCATTGGTTTGATTTCCATACTGCAAGTTTGGGGACACTTGGTCAGCAAAGAACTTCAAAAATTTTCTTTTTACAAAGAAATACGGAGACGTGGTCACCAGATTCCCTACTTCTAGGCCAATAGTTTGATTTTAAGAAAAGACCACTAGTAATCCTTTTCACCTGCTTACTACCCAACCCTCCTCCTATCCTGAAAAGGAAATAGTTTGACTAGAAACTCGGACTGGAAGGATGACAGGGAATTTTATTCCTTCCTTCTTAGTGTGGATCATATGGTGCTTAAATGTGTACATGAATTACTTAGGGCTCTTACTGAAATGCAGATTATTATTTAGTATATGGAAGTGGGCCCAAGATTATATAGTTTTAATAAGCTTCTAAGAGATTCTGATGCAGTTGGTCCCTAAATCATTCTTTGAGTAGCAAGGGACTACATAGAAGCCAAATAATGGCATTAAGCATTTCTAGAAAATGGGAAAACAACCTGTTAACTGGAGGATGGGGGTGCAAAAGAAGTTAAGCAAAAGAAGTTAATATCTTGAAACAATTAATTCCAAAAGGAATAATTATAAAGCAACTAGCAAACACAAGCTTATGACAGCAATACATGGCTTTATCACATTTTATCTTCTTGGTGATTTTACTCCCTATCTCCCTAGAGAATGCATGTATTTTGGGCCATAGGAACAGCCAAGCAGCTAATGCTAATAGAAATAGCTGGAAAAGCCCAGAAACACCCCAAATGGATATTTAAGCACCTTAAATGTATAATTAACCATAAAAATGAATGCTACATAAGTTTTTATAGGCTTTACTATTGTTTTAAGATGGCTTTTAGAAATTTAAAATGCAGTACTTGTTTCTTCAGATATCTTTCCTATATAATAAAAGGCTAATATGCAAATTGACCCAGTGGTGGAACTACCAGTCGCTATGACATGCACTGGCCACCAGGGAGCAGATGCTCAATGCAGGAGCTGCCCCTGGTGGTCAGTGTGCTCCCACAGGGGATGGCTGCTCAGCCAGAAAGCCAGGTTCATGGACATCTCCCAAGGGCTCCTGGACTGCGAGAGGGTACAGGCAGGCCAAGCTGAGAAACCCCTCTCCCCTCAAGTGCATGAATTTCGTACACCAGGCCTCTAGTATTTATTTTAAAAAAAAAGTATGATGTAAAGACTAAATGCAATATGATATCCTGGAACAGAAAAAGATGAAGTCCGAATAAAATCTGGATTTCAATTAATAGTAATGTACCAGGGTTGATTTCTTAGTTTTGACAAATACTGTGCTGGTATAACATGTTAACAGAGAAAAGCGATGAGAGGTGCTTCGGTCTTATCTTTCATTTCCTTTGTAACTTTTCTGAACATCTAAAATAAACTAATTCTTATTTAACAATTTGAAATAAAATATTTACTCATTCTTCTATATTATACCTCTCCTAAATGTTATAGAGGCTATTTTTACATTTAGAAACTCCCCATTACATGGCCCAAAGATTTTTTTTTTTATGGAAAAAATACAAAGATTTATTTTTTAAAGCACTGCATTTATAATAAAGTATACATTTTTAAACTAATGAATAAACATAATATACATAATATTCAATGTTTTCTGTTAAAAGGTTTTTGTTAGTAACTTTTTCTTTTCAAAAAAATTAACCTATGTTAACAGAAATATGGCCAGCCTATTCAAATGAGATACATGGAACATGAAGAGAGACCAAAAGCTTTAACTGACTTGGGAAAAAAGATACAACTTGTCATGAAAGTGATAGAAGCATACAGAAAAAAGGTATTGAATTCATAAAGTCAACTGATGATGATGGCATGAAGAATACTTGGTGAGGTGGGACAAATCCAAAGGTTCTCAGCTACAAAGCTGTAACAGTTGTTGCTACCAAATTTCAGAGACATTGTGCAGCAAACTTGAAACCTTCCTTTTTTTATGAGAATTGTCAGTAAATGATATTACTGCTTTTAAAATACAGCGCAGGTATGTGATTTTCATTTTTTTTAATTCCCAAAACCACAATACAAATTAACCTACTGACCAAATCCATTATTGATCATTATTGATATAGTGAGAGAGGTTTTCTTAAACCTTTTTTATTAAAGGCTTTTTGTGACTGGACTCTGCTAGCCTTTATTTTTGTCCTGTGGCCTCTTTTTCTTTTGATTTCCCTCTGTTTTCTAACTGGACAATCCCCTGTACCCATGTTTCTTTTATATACATACCCAAATCTATATTATTACCCTTGACATTTCCACTTATTTTAAGCTTCAAAAATTTAGTTATATAAATGATATCTCCACTTGGATATAACAATAAGATTTAACAAAATTAAGCTTATTGTTTTTTCCCTCTAACCAGAGGTTAGCCAACTTTTTCTTTAAATATTTTTAATATATTTTTATTGATTTTCAGAGAGGAAGGGGGATAGAGACCTCAATGATAAGAGAATATCATTGATTGGCTGCCTCCTGCATGCCCTACACTAGAGATTGAGCCTGCAACCCAGGCATGTGCCCTGACCTGGAATCAAACCATGGCCTCCTGGTTCATAGGGTGATGCTCAACCATTGAGCCATGCTGGCTGGGCCAACTTTTCTTTAAGTGAGCAAATATTTTAGGCTTTTCAGGTTTTATTTCTATACAGCCATATTCAAGTGTTCATTGTAGTGCAAAAGCAACCATATGTGATATGCACATTAATGGGCCTGCGTGTATTCCAAAGTAACTTTATTTAAAAAAACACAGGTGGCATGTTGGATTAGGTCTGTAGGACAAGTTTGCTAATTCCTGCTTTAAATAAATATTCACCCAGCCGATGTGGCTTGGGTGTTTAGAGTGTTGTCCCATGCACTGAAGAATCTGGAGTTCAGTTTCCAGTCAGGGCACATATCCAGATTAAGAGTTTAATCTCCTGTCAGGGTGCATAAAGGAGGCAATCAATCGATGTTTCTCACATCAATGTTTCTGTCTCCCTCCCTCTCTCTTTATAACCAAAGAAAATAACATATCCTCAGGTGAAGTTTTAAAAAAAATATTCATTTTGGTAGCAAAGGAACACATAATTTTCCCAATTTTTTTGGGAAAATTGCCATTACATTGAATTTAATAAATACATTTTTATTGATTTCAGAAAGGGAGAGAGAAAGAGAAATATCAGTGATGAGAGAATCATTGATTGGCAGCCTCCTGCATGCCCCACATTAGGAATTGAGCCTGCAACCTGGGCTGTGCCCTGACTGGGAATCGAATCATGAGTTCCTGGTTCATAGGTCGATGCTCAACCACTGAGCCATGCCTGCTGAGCAGGAGAGGCTAGCTAGCACCTGAAAGATTTGAGCAGAGTATGAGTAATAGCTTACGTTGAACAAGCACTTAGTGAGTTTGAAGCATTTTTATATGGATTATCGCATTTCATTCTCATACATATATATAAGAAAACTGCGGTGCGTAAGCAGCTTGTCAAGGTCATAAATGGTGGGGTCAGGATTAAAACCTAAGCATCACCCAGCCAGTGCGGATTAGTGTTTAAGTATGGACCCATGCACAAGAGATTGGTTGCTGGGTCAATTCCTGGTCAGGGGGCATGCAAGAGGCAGCTAATGGAGTTGATGTTTCTCTTTCATCAATGTTTCCGTCCCTCTCTCTGTCTCCCTCTCCTTTATTCTCTCTCTTAAAAAATGTAAAAATAAAAACTGCCGAGACCGGTTTGGCTCAGTGGATAAAGCGTTGGCCTGCGGACTGAAAGGTCCCGGGTTCGATTCCGGTCAAGGGCATGTACCGGTCAAGGGCATGTTGCGGGCACATCCCCGGTAGGGGGTGTGCAAGAGACAGCTGATCGATGATTCTCTCTCATCGATGTTTCTAACTCTCTATCCCTCTCTCTTCCTCTCTGTAAAATATCAATAAAATATATTTTAAAAAAATAAAATTAAAAAAATAAAATAAAATAAAAACTATTTAAAAACAAACAAAGCACCTAAGCAATACCAAGTTAACATACAAACTCTTAACCATGGAGCTTTTCGCTATACAATGTAGAAAGAGGTTACTTATTACAGAAAAAAAGATTTGTGAAATTTATATAATCATATAGCAATCCAAGCAACCTAGAAGACTCCAGGTAAAAATTATGAATGTCCCTGCCAATGTCAGTGTCCTAATTATCCAAACAGGTACAAATAGAACAAAAGGATAATGGAAAGATAAGATGTAGCAAGCCGACAACGGAAACACTAAGACTATTTCAATTATGGTACTGGAGATTCCCATAAAATTACTATGGACCAGGTTTTAGCAGTCTTTTTGAGGGTGCAGGTTTAAGAAATTATCCAAAGCAAGACTTCACTTAAGATCAAGGATTTTTTGTTTTTATCATGTGCCAGACTCCCTTCAAGGGGCTGGAACTACAGCATCAAACAAAACATTGAACCTTATGCTGTAGTAAGGAAAGGTAGATAATAAATTAATGTATAGTAGTCAGATAGTGATAAAGAGCTATGAAAAAAGTAAGGAACTGTCAGAGGTGGAGATTTGTCAGAAGGGCAGACTGCTAATAAGATGACATACATGTGAGGGGAGAACTGAAGGAGGTCAGCTTTCAAGATGTATGATAACTGTAAGAAAAAAGTTCTACAAAAAAGGGAATAGCAGTTGCAAAATCTCAAGGGAGAACATACTGAAGAAACAGCAAGGAGGCCCCTGTGTTTTAAAACAGTGGTGGTGGGTAAGCAGGTACCAGATCATAAAGGGCCTATTAGGCCTTTAGAAAAGTTTGGCTTTTCCTCTAAGAATAGGAATCCATTGAAGATTTTGAACATAAAAGTAAAATGATTTATTTTTTTAAGGACTAGAAGCAGAGAGACTAATGCAGCCATTAATAGAATAATACAGGCAAGAGACAATGGGAGGCTTGAACTTGGGTAGTGGAGGGGGAAGAAGTAGTTATATTTTTGCTGCATTTATTTTGAAGGCAGAGCTAATAAGATCTGCTGATAGATTTTATATAAATATAACAGAAAGAAGAGTCCAAAATGACTCAAAGGACTTGGTCTGAAAGGATGAAGTTGCCATTTACTGGGAAGAGTAGGTAGCGAGGTGATTGAAATGTAGGGCATCATTTCAAATTTCACAAATAGAAAATCAAGTTGGAAGTTGTTTATAGAGTTGGGGTTTCTGGGAAGAGGTTCAAGGCTAGAGTTTTTGCTTTTTAAAAAAATTTATTTAAAGAATGTAAATACAGCATGAATGGGAAATAACTTAAGCAATGATCCATGAATTTGCAAGGAATTCAGAAAAATGGGAGGGGGGGGCGGATACCCAGAAACTGAGAGATGAAGGGTACATAATTTGTAATCACACATGTAGAAAGATGGATCGAGTATCTGATGAAGCATCATCATCTTCTCTGTTCTTTCTTTCTCTTTCCCTTTATCTCCATGTCCAATCTCCAATTCATCAGGAAACCCTCTTTCCATATGTTGCATTGTCCATTTTTTCTGGTTCTGTGGCTAACAATTTAAACCATGGCTTGTTATCATGTCTTCTATGTGTGGCAGCTGCAATTTTCTCTTTTTAAAAATATATATTTTTATTGTTTTTGGAAAGGAAGAGGGAGAGAGAAAAATTAATGATGAGAGAAAAATCATTGATTGGCTACCACCTGCATACCCCCTACTGGGGATCGAACCTGCAACCTGGGCATGTGCCCTTGACCAGAATCAAACCTGGGACTCTTCAATCTGCAGCCTGATGCTCTATCCACTGAGCCAAAACAACTAGCTCTGCAATTCTCTTTTTTCAGACAGCATTTTATTATGCAATTCTCTTTATCAACAACTTTCTATAGTGTTTTGTTATATATTCAGAAATTTCTGTTTAGTTTTCCATATGCTTACTTCTCGTATTTCTCTTAACTCTCTGACAAATTCAATTCCATGCAGCTCCTTTTTTGGCTAAGTACCTTTCTTTGAATATTCACCACTAGTCATTATTTTCTAAACCTGAATCCTTTAGAAAGCCTTTCCTTTTAAGAACACATACTGATTTTTATTGTGCCCCAGGCTCTTCAGTTCTATGTAACATGCATGTGGCTTCTTTACATGGGTATGTGCAAAGTATATATTCAAAAAATTTTATTAATAAAATTTACTTACTAAAAAAGTTCCATTAAGTAAAGGGTTTTTTGTTTTGTTTTGTTTTGTTTTTGTTAACTAGGATGAAAGATATGATCATTTGGATCCTGCTGAAATGGAAAAAATTGAAAAATATATCAACGAAGCCATGAGTTGGCTTAACAGTAAGATGAATGCACAGAATAAATTAAGTCTCACTCAAGATCCTGTGGTGAAAGTTTCAGAAATAGTTGCAAAGTCAAAGGTAAGAAATTATAGAATTCTCTTTTAAAGGGGTTTAAGCACTAAATTAATTAATTAATTAATTAATTTATTTATTTATTTATTTATTTAAATCATTATCTTTGTACATATACCATTGCCCCCCTCCCATACATGCCGTCCCTCCCCAGAGTTTTGTGTCCATTGGTTGTACTTATATGCATGTATACAAGTCCTTCGGTTGATCTCTTATCTCCCCCAGATCTCCCTAACCTCCCCGCTGTAATTTGACAGTCTGTTTATTGCTTTACTGTCTCTATATCTTTTGGTTCTTCGGTTTATAATGTTCTTTATCATCCATAAATAAGTGAGGTCATGTGGTGTTTCTCTTTCATTGAATGGCTTATTTCACTCAGCATGATGTTCTCCAATTCCATCCAGGTTGCTGCAAATAATGAGAATTTCTTCTTTTTTTATGGCAGCATAATATTCTGTTGTGTAGATGTACCATAGTTTTTGGATCCAATCATCTGCTGATGGGCACCTAGGCTGTTTCCAAATCCTAGCTATTGTAAATTGAAGCACTAAAATTTTTTAATGGGAGACATAATTTTTTATTTTGAAAAAAGATTCTAGGTGAGACATCTCTTGATTTCATTAGTCGCATACAGAAGGCCTATTTTTAAAAAAAATTAAATGTAATACAGAATGAAATAAAACACTTTGACAACTTTTGTCTGTCAAATATGTCAGACTTTTCTGGATTGGGTAAGACCTGTAAGTCTCCATTGTAAACTTGGCAGTACAGGTCAGTCTTTGCATAATTCCAAACATGTTTAGTTCTATGGTAAAATCTTATTTCTGAGATAAAGTTTGCACTCTAAAAACATTACTACTGAAAATTTCAGTTGATCATAGAAAACATAAAAATAGGGGACAAATTTTTTAATAAAGATCAGCATCAATGTAGAAATATGAATAAATACATTGGATAAGCAGTTGACAAAAGAAATACATGTTCAATAAAAATATGAAAAATACAAAAAGTATTGTTCATCCTTATCACTAATCTAAAAAATGCAAATCTCTCTTTTCACCCATCTGAAGTTGTGTTTACATTTATAATCTTGCCACAATTGTCAAGGGTATGAAGAAATAAATGCTCTCCCTGAACATCTTGGTTAAATTTGTTAAAACTTTTCCAGGACATTGTACCACAATACAAATTTAAAGTGAGTAGGCACTTTAACCCCAAATCACATTTCTAAGAATTCATCCTAAATTGATTATTGCACAGGTATATGCAGATTAAATACCTTTGTTTATAATAGTAGTAAATTGGATATACCTAAAATACCTATCAGTAAGCAAGTCAATGAATAAATTGATACATCCATATAACACATTGTAGTCATTAAGTATTTTAAGTATATATGTATATAAATAAAGAGGTGAGCAACATACTGAGTGAAAAATGAAAGATTACAGAATATAAAGATATCTCACTGTATAAACTAATGTGTTAATAGATATATTTGTATATATGTGTATCCCTGACATTCATCTAGAAGGACCATCACTCAAAATGTTAATATCTGTAGGATATGGAATTTCAGATGATTTTTTCACCTCGTATATTTTTAGGTATCTCATGTTTTTTTAACAGAAAGAGGTATTATTTTAATCAAATAGAGCACTAAACTTTTGAGAAAGTTTTACAGAGAAGCTATAATAATTTATTCCTCATCAAATGAAGTGCAAAGTATGATGAAAGCAGTTTGCCATTAAAACATTCCCCCAGGATGTTACTCCTTATCTTTCCACTTCTATATCAATCTCTGTGACACAGGTCTTGAAAATATTTTAATGGTCTTTTTTGTCTATGTAAAAAAATAAAGTAACAATGTAGAAATACATTGTATTTCTTCTAAATTCTTAAATTGCATTTATTTTCATGGTTTATTCTCTCAACATAAAAAAGGCTACTCATTTGTTTTAAAAAGTAAAGTTAGTATGTATGTTTTCATATAAATGTTGAGAAATATCAATTCATGAAATAGTTGCTGGCATAATGCTCATAACAGAGCAGAAGGCATAATTTAATGAAATTAATTAAAAGCTATTTGCAATAATAATCTAAAAAAGATATATGATTCTCTATGTTAATTGCTGAAGTAAACTATATTTTAAATTTGAGGAAATGATTTTTTAGGAAGATTCAATATAAAAACCACTGTTAAGATTGAATAATTCCACTGACATGCACTAACCCAGAAGGTAAATCCCTCATTGAGGTACTTGAAGAAACTCGGTTGATTATGTAACTGAGCTAACATAAATTCAGGTATGTGGAATTCTGTGGAAATTTTGAAAGTTAATGTGGAATTTAACAGGATTTTTTAATGTAATCAATATTCTTCATGTCTTTAGGAACTGGATAATTTCTGTAACCCCATCATTTACAAACCCAAACCAAAAGTAGAGGTCGTAGAAGACAATGCAAAAGCTAATAGTGAACACAACGGACAGATGGATGGACAGAGTGGGACTGAAACCAAACCAGATACAACAAAAGACAGCTCACAGCATACTAAATCTTCTGGGGAGATGGAAGTGGACTAAATCTTAAATTCACCTTCACATAATTCAAACAGTGCAAGTAACCACTGGATCCATTCTTCTTTTACATCTGATACACACAACAGATGTTCAGTTGTTCTTAACCACTTTTTGTCATTTGTTATTGGGAGTAGTTTTGAAAGTGTTTTATATTGAGTACACATCTATAAATTTCCATTGCTGCTTATGTGAAGCTTTAGCTGAATATAGATTTACATGTCAGTTTAAGCTTTCCTAATGTATATCACATGCAAGACTGACATGTAGTTGGCCACAGTCTACCTTATTTAGAACTTCTACATGGATAAACTTTAGCTTCTTATTCAGGAAAGTATACAGTATTGCACTATTGTTGCAGAAGCATAGATATAACTGATCATTATTTTGAAAAACAAATATTGAAACTGATGTGGTTTGAAGTCACTAGGGCACTGACTTTTTTCTAGTTATTCTATTGTTCTAACTTAAGTATGCAAACAAATAAGAGGTTCCTTGACAAATTAGTCCATCTCATTGGTGTGCCATGAGAATTCCAAAAGCTTTGCTTTTATCACGTAAATGAACCAAATCTACGTTGAAAGTGAAAACCGCACGCACAATTTTTTGTAAAGGTGACACCAGCAGTTTTCTTCCTTTATTAGAAATGTAGATTGATGTTTTCTTAGAGTACTTCAGTATCATTTTCACTTGAAACTTCTCATCTACTTGTCCTGAAGACCTGCTGCTGCTGCTAGCCCGAAGGCTTTTTTATGAAAATACGTTCATGTGAAGTGGGAATTGCTGTTGACCTACTCAGATATGCATCTGTGATATTGATAGCTTTGTTTCAGTTTTGATATTTTAGTTTTATGGATTGATTCTGTTAAATCTTAACACAGGGAAAGGGGGAATGACACAATGTATTGCATTATGTACACTTATTGAAGTACTTAATGTTAAGATATAGAAAAACACTATTAAATAAGTGGTAATACTTGAAAAGAATCACTTATGCCCTAAGTCTTAGGAAATAATGCTTGTAATAAACTTAACTATGTTACATATCAACAGGCAAAATAGAAAATGTTACATAGTTTAATATGACGTGATTAAATTATAGTTCCTGCTATTATATTACCTGTTCAGACCTTGGCTCCAGTTTTGGCGGTTCTTATATAAATTACATGGGACAAGGACCGTGAAATTAAGATATTTTAAGGATTTAATCTGTGTTTCATCACCAGATTTGTTCACATTGTTCACTTCTGTCTACAGGCTTGAAACTAACCGGGAGTAGACTGACATGATTTTTAAACCTATAAGAAAAGGAAGCATGGACAGTGCCTGGACTCTTGTATTTAATCCCAATCAACTAGATTGACCTAGTTCTGAAATTTTCAAAGGCTCACTTTTTCTGAAAGCTAAATCTTTATATTAAGAATAATTGATATTGACTTAAGGAGTACAAATTGAGAGTTTAGTACCTTTAGGGATGGTCATTATTTCTCACAACTAGTTCTCTGAGAGAGATTTTGTTTCTACAATGTAGTCTGCACTGAAAGGGGACTGTAGAGGGAGTGCACTTTCCAGGGATTTTTATCCTTTTTGAGGAAGATATCCCTTGTTTGCATTAAAAAAAAATCATATACTCTCAATATATCTTAATGTTTTCTAGTCTTTAAACTGTCCTTGTTTTAATACATTTAAAATGAAATAATTATATCCATTAGTAATAAGTGATAAAGTACCTTATTATAAAAAGCATTTTCCAGTTACTTTTCATTTATATGTTGAATATACTATATAGGTTCATTTGGGGAAGAACAAAATCATTAAAGGGAACTCATAACAATACAAAAAGGAGTTTATAGTTTTTTTCTTGAGTTAGCAAAAAGACCACTATCACTATTTTAGGAGCTATACCTTAGAAACCTCTTGGGAATAAATGTGGGAACAACCCTTTCTTCATCTGAATTGTCTAGTATGTCCTGACATTTTCCATTCCTTAAATCAGTTTATGTAGTTCTGTGTTTTTGTCAGATATATAACATTCCAATTGTTGCAGTTATATAACAATGAGTTAAGTACATCCAAAGGTAATATGTGTGCTTTTTAATTTATTCAACTTAAATTATATTTTCAAACACTGTTTAACCTTATAATGTAGTTATTTATTGACTACATTAGAATGTAATATAGTTCTTCTACAAAGGAATGTTCTCCTAAATACAATTTTGGGTACATAGTATGGTTTAGTTTCATTTTAATCACTGAAATATGCAGTGCTAGACAAAATAATTACATATTTTTTCAAAAGGAAAAGGTATTATAGATTTTTAAAAGATACATAACAAAATAGACTGTTTTACTATAGTAGGCAAATAAAGACTAAGTATAAGAAGTATCTAGGATGATTAATAAATATTAGTGTATTTTGACTCTTGAAAAAATATAAATTATTTGGTTTGCAAAACAACTCTTGATAGCCTATTATAAGTATAAAAACAAAAACTGCTAATAATATAGCAATAATATAACAAATTTAAATTCCTTAGCAGTAATCAGAATTCTTGAGTTTTAAAGTAACTAGAAACAGCACACCAAAGAATTAGACTATTGGAATATCAGATAATCTGTTTTAAATGGGTAACTGGTCTCTTATTAAGAAATAAAGATTTCTTAGACTTTTTGGGGTGGCAATTTTTAGTATGTTTATGGTTATTTCTTTGATAGAACTCTTTATTAAAAGTGAATTTTGAGGCTCAGTTATCAATATAATAAAATCTTAGTGTTAAAGCATTTTATCCAAATTAGCACATCTTTAATTATTTTGAAAAATTATTCATATTTAAAGACAATAGATATTTGAATATGGTAATCAAATTAGCTTACTTCAGTCTCAAAATAGGTATAGCCATTCCTCCTTTTTCATCACTTTAAATTGTAAACATTCCCATTGAGATTTTGTTTTTGTTGTTATTGTTAATACTCACCCGAGGATATATTTTCCCACTGATTTTTTTAGAGAGAGTGGAAGGGAGATAGGAAAGGGAGGGGGGGTGGAGAGAGAGAGGAAGAAAGAGAGAGAGAGAGAGAGAGAGAGAAGAGTCACATTGACTGGTCGCCTCAGACACATGCCCTGATCAGGGCCTGGAATCAAATCCTCAACCCTTCCCTGTCCAGGCCAATGCTCTAACCAGAGAGCAACACTGGCCAGGGCAAGATTTTGTTGTTTTTTGTTTTTTCAAGACTTTGTTTTAATGGTTGATTTTTGGCAGTACACACAAATTAATGCTAAGGCAAGATTTACAAGTCTTAAATTACTAGAAAAATAGTCATCTTTCTCACCTTGTAGAATTTTACAACCTCAGTTCTAAAGTAAACTTTGGAAGTTTTAATTGGAATTTTATTTTATGATATTTGACTCTGTAAAACTTAATCATGTAACTAATTGTATTGCCCTATTAATATTTAAAATCTGATAGCATAAATTAAATAGCAACTTCTAACTTTTCAAATTACATAGGTAGAGACACCTACCAAGTAGGATACTTATAGTGTATCCTCTTAATGTGTTTTTAACTAAGAGCAATTTAGCAAGCTAAATCTTCTTAAAGTAGTCAGTTTCTTTCAGGAGATAGACTTTTTGATCAAAAAAGTAAAAACAAGTTTAAAATTACCTTTTGTTTTTTGTTTTATCAATGTCTAATTTAAAGTATAATTTTAAAGTAATTCCCAGGAAGCACATAACCTTTTCTTTTAATAAAAAGTAACAAAAAAAATTGCAAATAAAAGATCCAAGACTTTTAACCAAACAAAAAAGAAACTTTAGCTATTTTACTTTCACATCTATAATTTAAAATACACTATTCTTCTATGTACGAAAAAAAAGCTTTGGGTTTACAATACAGACACATGTCCAAGTTTTTTTCTACTAAATTCTAAGGTAATTGTTTCACATAATAAATGGTCACCTAGAATTTTTAGAATAACAACCTGCTTAGAAGAAGAGAAGAAAACCTGAATGTCTTTGGCAGTGATCAGTATCCAGAGGTAGTAATGGCCTTTTCCATCTGCTAGATCCCTAAGGATACCTCTAGCATATTGTTAGAGAATTAAAAGAAAAGGCACGTGTGTTAAAATACATTATTAGATGACTTGAACTTTCAAAGAAAAAAAAAAAGCCCATAATTGAATCATGAACATTTGATTCAATCTTTCAAATAGGTAAACATCTATAACAACAGTAATTAATAGTATGTATAATCTTTGCTTTGGAATCTCTAATTTAGTATCATGTCCTAAGTCACAGGATAATTATTAGGGAAATGTACTGATACCCAGAAACGACCCATCCTATAAAGAGATGAGTGAAAATTCAACATGTTTTAGATAATTTGATTGCATTATGATCTGTAAACTATAAATGGAAATGGTCCTTAATCTTTTCTATAACATTTCATTTACCTTTACATCCAGTTCTAGACTTTTAAATCATTATATTTATCAGAAGTCTAATTTTCTCTTTTATTTTGGATTATTCTTTAGACCTTTTTGAAAATATATATATTTTATTGATTTTAGAGAGGAAGGTAGAGGGAGAGAAAGATAGAAACATCAGTGATGAGAGAGAATCATTGATTGGCTGCCCCCCTGAACACCCCCTACTGGGGATTGAGCCTGCAACCCAACATGTGCCCTTGACCAGAATCGAACCTAGAACCCTTCAGTTCACAGGCTGACGCTCAACCCATTGAGCCAAACCAGCCAGGACATCTTTAAACCTTTTATTTAATTTAATGAGTTTAAAAAATTTAAATCATTTTTAATTTTTCAATTATAATTGACAGTATTTATATAACTAAGTGATCATCTTGATAAATCTAGTTCCCAGCTGAGACCATGCATTAGACTATTATTGATTATATTTCCTGTGCTGTACTTTACAACCCCATGAATATTCTGTAACAATCAATTTGTATTTCTTAATCCCTTTACCTTTCCATCCAACCCCTTTCCCATCT